CGATTAGTGAAAGTTCAGGGTTCGATTGTCGATGATGGTCATTAGTTTGATTTACAATCTCCGATTAACAATTCCGAAGCATTATCCATTAAACTACCGACACATCCAAGATTACAGCATTTGGTATGTCCAAGCGGCCACCCATCTAGGTACTGACCAGGTTCGACCTTGCTTAACTTCGGTGATCGTACGAGAACCGGTGCTTCGTAATGTGGCGTAAGCAAAGGATAGCAGGAGGAGTCATTATTTTGATTTTCGTGTCACTGAATGTGACCAGCCAATCTTTAGATATTCACAAATCATCGGAGTATACACTTAGGCAGATCATTTATTCAAATCAGAAAGAGGGTGAGACCTAGAAGTGAACCTTAGGGAATATCTACGTTGCTCGCTTGGGCCTCGGAGAACCGGTCGTTAACAAATACCTTCAAGGTTCTACCCGTTAGGAAGGACTTTATAACTGGGAAGATTCTTCCATTGACTCCATAGCTAGAGACCTTGAGCAGTAACCCCTTTATGCCACATCTAGTCAAAGGCCTTTGAAATATGCGATCGTCCTTGAGATGAATTTGTTGTCAAGTGCCTCACTGATTCTGTGAGTAATAGCAATTAGGACATTAAGACAATTAGGAGACAATCGAAATCCGTACTGCTTGTCGATCAAGAGATTGTTGCTCCTGGGGTGATAACTTTCTTGTTGATTGCAGCTTCAATAAGTTTGCTAATGATACTGAGGAAACTGATGCGTTTATACTTTGAGGCGAATGAGAACTCACCGGCATTGTTGAAAACCGGACATACAATTGACACCTTCCACAGACTTAGGAAGGCATTTCTCCTTCAAGCAGCCTAAGATGGATACACTACCTAGTTGCTGTTTGGCAAACGTGAAAACAACATGCATCCTAAGTAGGAACATGAAACATATCACAAGGGTTGAACTGAGATCCTTCTTTTTGTTTGTCCCTTTCACATATTGCTTTTTTTTCATATTTTAATTTCTCTGTATGGCAAAAAATATGATGAACATGTATATGTGTTGCATTTTTGCATGATATATTTGTGTATTTCGATGTTGAAGATTTTGGGTTATACTTTCCTTCCGTTGTGTTTAGGTGTTTGCATTACACGAGTACACTAATGACTATAGTGGACCTTGGAGAGCGGAGAAGACCAAAATATGTTTTCTTTCTTTCCACGTATCCCATTATATATATATCGGATGCATTTATTTATATAGCAGTTTTTTGTTTATACAAATTTAATTAATTATCAACGAATGTTCTTTGTTACGGATTTGTTTTGTTAATTTTTCTATATTTCGGACCATTTTCCAGGAATATAATAGAATATAAATTGTCTTCAGTGAGTTATGTGCCTCTTCCCCGTCCTACGTCTATATCGAAATATTTCATTATCAGAGAGTTAATGCTAGTTTGAAACAAAACTCTTTAAGTCAATTGCATCGTCCACCGCGAGGAAAGTTGGCTCTCTGTGCCGCGCCAGGAAATTATTCTCCCCGGCATCGATACTTCAAATATACAAATCAACCATTCGCCCTTGCATGGAGTATTGCTGCCATATATGGTCTGGGACACCTTCTGTTTACCTCGGAGTTCTTGACAAGATCCAGAGACGGATATGTAATATAATTGGCCCTGATCTGGCATCTCGTCTACAGTCGCTCTTTCACAGACGCGCCGTCGCCTCTCTCTGTCTTTTCTACAAATACTTTCATGGTAATTGCTCCGATGGGCTGCTTTCACTGGTGCCCAGACTCCATGAATTCAAGCGCCCTACGAGGCTGGCATCCCGCTCTCACCCTTTCACTGTAGAAACTACTAAATGTAGCCGTCTCTTCTACTCCAATAGATTCATACCTCTCACCTCTCGCCTGTGGAACACCCTTCTCAATTACTGTTTCCCTGAGAGCTATAATCTCCAACTATTCAAATGTAATGTCAATCGACATCTCGAGTTACCTTGATCTATCCACTATCCCTCTCCTCATCCTTTCTTCTATCACTCCTATCTGCTCTCGCTCCAAATCTTCTGCAACCCCCTGCATCCTAGTGGCTTCACGCCTTGCTCGGTGCGTAATGCTTAAAAAAAAAAAAAATAAAAAACACTGGCTTATGAAAACCGAAAGTAACCACTGTGGGGATTACGCCACCTTGTCTGCTAGAATGCCCGATAGGTGGCGTTCTATTCAGGATTATAAAAGCGAATTATGCGGATATGAAATCCTCTTTCTCAGATTTTTTTTGAGAGTTGTTGAATATTTAAATTTCTTCTCCCCACACCACAAACAGAAGACCCAGTCACGCACACATTACAGCTACGTACATAAATGTTTTCTTTCTTTTTCGAGCTATGTGTATACAAATAAATATAATTTTCTCTTTCTCATTCATTATAATCGTGTAGCGTCTATTCGTTACACTAGAAACTGGATAACTTCATATTTAAATTTCACCAGAAATTAAGAAAATATTCCGAAATATGAAAAAAATCTAAACTAAAAATCATTAACAACGAAAATTCCTTTTCGTCTTCATCTAAGCTTGTATATATATATATATATATATATATATATGTATATATATATATATATATATATATAAAAGACTTTTTTTATGTTTAACATTGTTTTTTATAGATACAAGTATTTTAGTAAATGCTATATTTTAGTAAATTTTGTATCTATAAAAAAGAATGTTAAAGATAAAAAAATGTCTTTAATAAAATTGTCGGACTTTGTCCATTTATATATATATATATATATATATATATATATATATATATATATATATATATATATATATATGTGTGTGTGTGTGTGTGTGTACCGTATATTTACCGTGTATTGGGCGACCATTGGATAAAACAAGATAAAAAAATATAGCAAATTTTCATGAATTTATTCTATATCTGAAGTATATTGATTATATAAAGATGATATTATTGGAAATGTGGTTACTGTATCCTTAAAAATAAATGAAATAACAAAACCGATTCTATATCATGTTTTTTCAACACACATCTCCTAAAAGGGAAACCATTGTTTTGTTTATGCTTCATCACGTGATCTCTTGCGAATACTCATTCTTTTTCTTCTTCCTCTTTTTTCCCCATATCTAGACAGTTACAAACAGCCTGGTGTACTAATGGCCATTTACTTTATATTTCATGCAGAATCACAAAATAATCCTGAATTGTGTTATTATTTAACATCAAAATGATAATGAATTTTTAATGAGAAATGAATATTATGCTATTCTTATTACTGTTGTAATTAACCCTACCATGATTATTGAAAGTTGAATAAAAGATAAAGGTACATGTGAACGCAATCATAACTCGATGTTTACATTTTCTCACTTGAGCTTGCATCGATACAAATTGATTTCATTGATATGGAATTATTCTTTGAATAGGCAATTTATTATGACGTGATGTCAGTAATATATAAGGTAGAAATGGTTTTCACTTTCATTATCAGTTTATTTGGTAATGTTAATCTTTTCATATACGTTTTTGGCTAACCCACAGAGGCCGGGGTTAGCCTACCCACAAACATCACTCAGAATTTAAAAGGTTTTTTTAGAATTGTATTATAAGACGAGCCCCAATTTTTAAGGCTGATTTTTGGATTTAAAGGTCGTCTTATACGCAGAAATATAAGATATATATATATATATATGTATGTATAAGTGCGCAGGTATTCAGAAAATAGAAAAAGAATTAATGCCATAATCCGGGGTTGCATAATCCGGGGTTCATATATATATATATATATATATATATATATATATATATATATAAGGTTCATTTAGGCACCAAGAATTCTTTCAAATATGTTTTGTTGAATGATATGGGCAAGTTCCGTCTATCTAATTTCTTCTTTTTTTTAACAATCCTAACATGTTCAAATCTAGGGTTAACCGTTACCTTCCCCACTTATCCGCAAAAACTGTACCACTTACTTACTCTGTAAATCTCTACCTCGAATGGATTCCGGTCTTGTACAGGGTGAACCTCACTATATATATATATATATATATATATATAAAAATTCCGAATTATTTGTTATATATAATCGGTAAAATTCATTTTTCCGCCCGAGTACTTTCGAATGTTGCTACATTCTTTTTCAAGGATTTCGTTTTTTTCTGTGTTTATTTAACTGTTTTTCAGTTTTTTTTATGCGTCATGTCACTCAAGGATGTGGGCGACCCTGGGTCATTGTGAATTCCTCCTCTTTGTTGCTTTAAACAGTGTTTATCATTTTACTATCACTCCATGTTTATACCGGATTTAGATTTTAGCCACTCGGCTACGTATCTTGTTTTAAATATAAGAACAAAGTTGCGAAAAAAATTCTGTTTTAACCACTGTATAGAAACGATAAATCCCATGTAAAAGAAAAAAAATCTGACAAATATAAAAAGAATTTTAATTTTCTGAATACGACTTTCTTTCTTTCTTTTTTCTTATTCAATGTCATCGTGGCTTCAAGTTGAAGTGCTTGACTTTTAGTAGGGCCTGATTTAGATGAAGAAAGGCCCTAGGCTATTCCATTTTTGATGTACTTCCAAATTCCCCGAATAGAGGAAAATGGAAGAGTGTTAAACAATTTGAGTAAATCCGAGGATGATGAAAGGTGCTGAAATTCCTCCTCTAAAGGTTTTTATTGTTAAACTTTTTTTACATTAAGGTTCACCCTGCACAAGGCTCTGGGGTCAATCGGGGTAGAGGGTTACATTAAGGGGTAGTTTATACAGATAGAAAGGGAAAATAATGGTTAACTCTAGACTTGAACAGTTTAAAATTGTAGTGATCGATGAAACATTCTCTTGAGAGTCTGTTCCAGAGAGAAGCGGTTCTCGGGTAGAAGCTGTTCCAGATGAACTTACCGATGGAATACGAAGGGAATGTGAGCTGTTTGCTACTATGTAAGGGGCTGCAGATCCTAGCCATGAAGGTTAGGCCTGGCAGAACCAAGGAATGAAGCTCGTCCGAGCACTTTCCATGGAAGTAGTGATAGTGCAGTGAAAGACTCGCCACATCCCGCCTGTGAGAGAGTTGAGGTTGGGAAACAATTCGTTACCCAAAAGACTTGGAGACACTTTTAAACTCTGTCGAGACTGGAAAAGTGAGGGATTGCGAAGCTTCCGCTCAAATATGACGACAGTATTTTTATTTT